TCTCAGGAGCTCCAGGCTGGATGTCTGCGCAGCTGAGCAGTCCCTGCTGAATCCCAGGTTCCTGACCAGCACTTACTGAGTACCAGGAGCCCTGATGGCCCTGGAGGCAGAGCAACAGGCATGGGGAATCCAGGGCTCCATCCATAAGGATGCACCAGATTGGGAAAACATCCTCCAGAATTTCAGTATTGGTGGAATTTATGAACTGGGACTGAGTGTAGGCTAGATATAATTGGAATGCTGAAGAGATGCAGATGACCCATCCTTTGCCAACTGCCCAGACATCCTGCACCTGCTTCCTCATCATTAAAACAGGACAATAACCTCCAACTCACAAGGCTGTCGGTGATGGCAGAGACCATTTAGCAGGGCTGTGATTAAGAACACCGTTGTCAGATGAGGTTTGGATTTTGGTTCCAAGACTGTGATTCTGCATAAGTGACTTAATCCCTCGAGGCTCCGTTTACCTCATCTGTAAAATGGTCACAGTAATCTCTTTCTCAGGAGACTACGGCAGGGATGCATTTCAAGTGGTTGACACAGTGCCTGGAGCACAGTAAGTGTCTGTCAAGGGACAGTTATCATCTGGTGAAGGTACCAATGCTAGGCCAAACCCAAAAGAGGGTCTCACTTGGCAGGATTTCTCTCCCCTTCAAATTATTTCACATATGTTATCACCTGGGCACCATTTTCTTCCTCACAGTTCTCTCTTAGATACTCTCCATCTTCCTATAACAGCACAAGCTTCTTATTGCCTCAAAAAGTCTTCGCTGAAATCTTACCAGAAGCCCAGCATGACGTCTGGGTCTCTGGACAGAAAAGAAATACCAGCAGTGGCCCTGCCCACCATGCACAGAGGATATCCACAAGCAAACAATGAATGCACCAGGCTGAATTGTCTTAGTAACAGCTTGAGCTGGCCACAGCAGCCTTGTCCCAAGGCAGCCCACGATTAATTGCCAAATGAATTGTGTGGGCTATAATTGTTGCCAGAAGTATGCGGAGGGAAATCTCCCTTCTGACCACAGTGATCAGGAAGAATAAACATCCACACCCTGGAGATCTGGATGAGCCACCCGGTGAGGTCACGAAGCAGCCTGGAAGCAGAGGGCACAGGACTGGTCAGGCTCTAATCACCTGAACACTGGGGGCCCCCAGCCCTCCCCCAGTGCCTGGTACAAAGGCCCAGCTCTTCAGCTGCTCCTGCAGTCAAGTTTCCCATCTGAGAAATGGGATTTCTCAGGGGGACTGGAATGAAAAGAATTCTTCCCCTATTTCCTAGTGCCCCCCCCACCAAAACACATGCCAACCCAACTACCACAGCCTTCACCAGTGACTCTGGTATAGCTGAACCACTGGTTTCTAAGCCCCTCTTTCCTGTCCTATTTTTACGATTCTTTTGTGGTTCTTGCTTACTTCTCAGTCTACAGCGTGTGGTAATCATATCTAACAAATTACTGTACCTGTGGCACTCTGAGGTCGTTAGATGAAAGGAATTCAAATAACCCAGGGAGATCTTTTTGTTAATTATAACTTCAGTAGGCAGCATAAGGAAAAATTAGCTAACACCGGGGAAGGACACAGGAAATGAAAAGAATGAAACAACTGGGCATCATTACTAATTATTTTCTTTGAAGTCCTCATGATTGTTTTCTAACAATACAGTCCATGTAGAAGAACTTGCTATTTGTATTTTATAGACAAAACAGAGATTTATCAAAGTCTTCCATTCGTTTGATAAAAATGATAGGACTTGAGGAGATGGAAGGAGTCTCGTTTGCCTTTCTTCCTTAGATAGAAGGGAAGTCTGGGCTCATCTGGGATGTTCTTCCTAGTCATTCAGCTTGCCCTGACTCATGTCCCTCAGTGCTGCTGAGTGTCAGGGTTTACGAGATCAATTCAGTCTTCCAGGCCAAACTCTGCCGCACCAGGTGGTTCCCCATGGGACCTGGCTCCTCCACCAGTCCCGGGCAGGGCAGGGCCAGGTGGGCGGCTCCTGGCCTGCAGGCTGGTAGGGGCTACGTGAGTCTTGTTGCTGTGGAACTGGCATGGCTCTGTCCATCTCAATTCCCTGACCGCTCCCCGACATCCTGCCTGCTGCGTTGGCCCAGTCTATTAAATTCACTCACTCATTCATCAGCTAGTTATTGAACCCCTACTATATGCCACGCACTGTTCCATTGAACAAAACAGATAAAGCCCTGCTTTGAGGCAGCAAGCATTCCAAAGAAGGGATAGACATTAAACAAAGAAGAAAAACCTACAGTGTGACGGCTGACGATAAGTACCAGGAAGACACGGAACCATGCACAAGAGGATGGAGAGGGATGGGGATGCTGGGAATGGGTGCTGTTTTACAGGAATGGTCCGGAAAGGCCTCTCTGGGGAAGCTGACATCTTAACAGAGATCTGTGGGAAGGGAGGGAGCAAGCAAGATAGCTATCAGAAAGAATGGCATCCTAGGCAGAGGAAACAGCATGGGCAAAGGCTCTGCGTCTGGATTTGCTTGCTGTGTTCCAGGAATAGCAAGGAAGGCAGTATGCCTGGAACAGAGCCGGTGAGGGAAAGGGAAAGTGGTAGGAGATGGATCAGAGAAGGGACCAGGAGCCAGACAACTTAACCAGGTCTCCGCCTGTAGCTTGGGCAGAATTCTTAACCAGCAGGCCAACTCACTCAGTCAGCAACTGCATGTTGAGTGCCCTATGCTCCTGGCTGGACCCCAGATCCCCTCTGGGCTGAAGGGAAGAACACAAAGTGATAATGGCTGTAAAAGGTAGTGGGACTTCAATTTCCCTTTTTTTTTTTTTTTAAGTATTAGTTGCATATTTAGAGAATACAAAGATTGCAGAAAAGAATAATGATGCAGAGGCAGAGAAGTAAAGAATCAGGTAGCCGGGATTCTAATGGTTTCCTCCACTGTTTTCCAATCTTTGTCTAATGCTGTTATAATATGCTGGTTATATATATATCTTTAAAAAGAAACTCGACCAAAAGTTTTTATCAAAATGAAATTAGAATTACACCATATATTCTTTTAACTTACGCACAGACTTTGGAACCCAACCTCAGTAAGACAAGACACAACTAGTTCTTTGAAAAGCACAAACTTTCGAGTCAGTGGACACTGAACTGATATTCCGGTTTTGCCACCAGTTGCTGTGGGGCCTCAGGTGGGTTACTCACGCTCTTTGAGCCTCAGTTTTTTCACTGTAAAATAGGTATCACATCCATAGGATTGTTTTAAAGAGTAGAGATGATGTGTGTAAAACACCTGGCATGTGGAAAGTACTAAATAAATGGTGGCTATTAGCAAACAGGCAAATTTGTCCAATCAACAAACACAGCCTCTCGAGACCCTGTGCTCAAGTGCTTCTGCCATTGCTGGTAAACACAGAAGTAAACAAGACCGAAAACAACGTAATTTTATCTTATCTTCCCAAATTCCAATTGCCCCTAAAGACAGCAAATCAATCTAGAACTGTGTGGTTGTCCCTCTGAACGAGGGTAAGGTTTTGGAGTCCTACACGTGCTGGAAAAGTGGGCAGAATTCAGGTTCCTAGGACGCAGGGCAACGGTGGCACAGCTTTGCAGCGAACTATTTGGCTCCCCAAGTGGCTCTGTGTCTTCTTCCTTTGCTGCTGCCTCCCTGCTGCTCAGACAAAGCCAGGAAGCTCCCACCTCTGGCTGAAACCCTAGAGAGCATCACTTACTGTCAAAGACAGTGGACTCAAAACCCACCCCTTGAAGACTGGGCCTCTCTCAGCCCTGAAGATTACCTGAGGCCCCTGTTCTTGGGCTGTTCACCAGCCACATGGCTCAGATTAAAACAGCTCTGCCATATCAGACAATAAATTCTGTTCCTGACATGCAAGTCTCAAGGGAAAACTAACTTTTAATAAAAGCACGAAAATTCACATTGTTCTCTCTGGTAGTTTGCTTCCCAGCAGAAAAGTGACGAAGGCTTAAACAAAAGGGAGTCCCATCCCCTCAAGGAAATTCATCATTTCTGTAGAAACCAAGGGTCATTCCAGACAGCCAGCTCGGGCTAGACTGATAGGAACTACATCTCATCAGCCAACGCGTGAGCACCTCTGTGAACAGATGGACAGACACTGGGTTGAGTGCACTGATCACAGCAACCCCGCAAGGCAGGTACCACTGACCCCACCGTTCAGACTGGGAAGCCAAGGCCAAGTCAGAATAATAACTTGCCCAAGTGGAAAGAAGGCAGGTAGGTTTGCGACCTATATTTTGGAGCTGTTTTTACATCTCCCTCAACCTGGTTTGACTTATTGTTAGAAACAGTGGATAACTCTGCCAGAAATGTAATCAGCCACGAAGCCTAGCAATGTAGTTCTGTTCAGGAAACGGAGCTGGTTTAGACGGAGTGCCATTTTGGCGATGGCCTGTTTCTGCTCTCTCCACCCCTTCCCTCTCAGACTCAGGAATAGCTGGTGCTCACGGAGCACACTGGCTTCAAACCACAGGGGTATTCTCTTGGAGCAGCATCAGTGAATTTTTCTTACCAAGTGTAAAAGGCCAAACTGCTAGGAAAGTGTTTTTTAAAATATAAATCTGATCTTGGCACGTTATTCTTGACAGGCCTTCCTCCACTTAATATCCTAACGGAGATGAATCTTCCCTTGAACAGACTCTACATACAAATCTTTCATAAATACGTGCTCATTGGACTTGCCAGACAGGGCCTTGCACATGAGGAGCTGTTTCCTGGGAGTGAAAGTCCCTATCAGGAAACCCCAGAGCTGCAAGGTTATGGGGCACACATTCCCACCCGACCCTCTCAACCCCAACTCCATAGAGTTCTTGGAATTTGGGGGTTTGCTTGCTGTGAGAATACCAAGTGGATCTATTGTGTTGGAGGTACATTAAAAACCCGCCAAACTCTCCGGACCTAAGAGTCACTCGTGGCCAGGAGTTCTGGTTCTGGCTCTTGGGGTGGCCTGGGGAAGTCTTTCCCCCTATCTCCGCCTCAGTTTTACCTTCTGTAAAAGGAGCGAGGTCCAGGTGAGCACTAAGGTGAGACATCTCAGGCCCGCCTCAGGCGTGACAAAAGCCTCCCTCCGAGGACGCCATTCCCTCAAAGTGCCTTCGCCGCTTGGAGTTGGACTCCGGCGGTGTGGCGGGGCCGCCAGGGCGCGTCCGCAAGCTTCGCGAGCCGGGCCAAGCCACCCCACCCCAAACTATCGGAAAACAGCCACAGAAGCGACCCTCCAGGCCCACGCGCAGGCCTCGGGGTCCCACCCCCGCACGCAGCCTACACCCCTCCCGGCCCGCCCGACCACGCCCCCGCTCCCGCCGTGGCGCGTGCAACCCCGCCCTCCCCGGAGTCTCCGAGCCTAGCGGGCGGAGGGCGGGGCGGGATGGGGCGAGGCGCGCGAGAGGCGGAGCCGAGTCGGGGAATCCTGCTCCCGGCGAGCGCAGGGCCCAGCAGAGCCGCCTGGCCGTCCGAGGGCTCCCGCGTCGGGGGCGGCGGGGAACCCCAGACACCAACGGGTCGGGAGGGAAACGCGCCAAGCGAGCCGCCGCCACCGCCTCCGCGCCGCCCCCGTGGGCTGAGGGGGGCCCGAAGCGTCTTCACTCCGCCCGCCGCCAGTCCCCGCGGTCCCGCCGTCCGCTCGCCGGCTCGTCTCCCGCGCGCCATGCAGCCACCGCCTGCCCTGCGCGCGTAGGCGCCCGCCACAGGCCATGCTGCCCCTGCTCGCCGCGCTGCTGGCCGCCGCCTGCCCGCTGCCGCCCGCCCGCGGCGGGGCCGCGGACGCGCCAGGCCTCCTCGGGGCGCCCCTCAACGCCTCGGTCAACGCGTCGTCTGCGGACGAGCCTGCCGCCCCGCGGCTGCTGGCCTCGGCTGCGCCCGGGGCCCCTGAGCGCCCCGGCCCGGAGGAGGAGGCGGCGGCGCCGTGCAACATCAGCGTGCAGCGACAGATGCTGAGCTCGCTGCTCGTGCGTTGGGGCCGCCCGCGGGGCTTCCAGTGCGACCTGCTCCTCTTCTCCACCAACGCGCATGGCCGCGCCTTCTTCGCCGCCGCCTTCCACCGAGTCGGGCCGCCGCTACTTATCGAGCACCTAGGGCTGGCGGCGGGCGGCGCGCAGCAGGACCTGCGCCTCTGCGTGGGCTGCGGCTGGGTGCGCGGCCGCCGCCCCGGCCGCCTCCGGCCCGCCGGCGCCACCGCCGGGACGCCCACCGCGCTGCCCGCCTACCCCGCAGCCGAGCCCCCCGGGCCGCTGTGGCTGCAGGGAGAGCCGCTGCATTTCTGCTGCCTGGACTTCAGCCTGGAGGAGCTGCAGGGCGAGCCGGGCTGGCGGCTGAACCGCAAGCCCATCGAGTCCACGCTGGTGGCCTGCTTCATGACCCTGGTCATCGTCGTGTGGAGCGTGGCCGCCCTCATCTGGCCGGTGCCCATCATCGCCGGCTTCCTGCCCAACGGCATGGAGCAGCGCCGGACCGCCGCCGCCGCCGCCCCCGCCGCCGTACCCGCTGGGACCACCACCGCCGCCGCCGCCGCCGCCGCCGCCGCAGCCGCAGCCGCGGCCGTCACCTCGGGGGCGGCGACCAAGTGACCCGCCCCACTCCTCCCCTTGTCCTCCCTATGTCCGCGCTCTCGGTGCCTTTCCCGCCGGGAGACTCGGCCGGTGTGCTTCGTGCAGTAGTGACCGTTAGTTCTTCCGGGGAGGGGTCCGCAGAAGAGGCCCCAGCGTGTGGGAAAAGCCAGGTTTGTGCCGCGCTTCTGGCTCCGAAAAGCAGATGCAAGCCCTTGCCCTGCAGGGTGAGATCCGCAGCTTGGAAGACGGAGAGGAGGGAAATGGGGCCCTTTCCCCTCTTTGCGTCCCCCTGCCCTCCTTCCTCCCCGCACCCACGTGCCCTATATTCATGGCAGAAAATGACCAAATCCTGTGTATTTGTTTTATATATTTAATAACTGTTTTAAATGAAAGTTTTAGTAAAAAAAATCAAATTGCTATTGCTGTAGTAAGGGAAGCTCTTTGTATCTGAACATAGTATTTGAAGTTTGTTGTTTTTTAATTTATTTAAAAGGGGGAGGAGGCATGGGAATGATTTAACACTGATATATTGTTACCGCTGAAAATGAACTTTATTAACCTTTTTCCAAGTCGATCTATCCAGTGACGTGGCCAGATGGGCGTTTCTTCTTGTACTTATGTGTTTTTTTGGCTTTTAATACAGACATTTTCCTCCAGAGATGCGTATGTGTCTTTATTTGATTCGGAAAAGGAATCCAAGAATTACAAGATGATCCCTTGAAACGTGAGGAAGGGAATCTTCAGAAAGTGAGAGAAGGGCTAACTCTGTCTCCCTTACCTGTCTGGGAGAGGCGGGAGATGGAAACCATACTACTGACCCTAATGGCAGTGTTTTTGCCTCTCACCACGCGGCCACCCCCACCCCTCAGCCTCACTGACACCTGTCAGGGCGGCATACAGGGTTTTATGTGATTTATCTTTTTACGCATTTCCCTCAGGCCCTGCAAAACACCAAGTTAAGTGCCAAAATGGTGAAATCGGTAGTTCCTCTGAGCCAGGTGTCTTTCATGAAAATGACTCATTTTAAAAGGCATGTAGATTTCCTTTTCATATGTGTAACCTTTAGTATACGAACACATTTCAAAAGCTGGTTTTAAAGCCTGAGCTATTTCGGCATTAAGATTTTTTCAAGGTAAACTCTTACAGACTAATTAACACCTTAAAAAAAATTTAAGCTACTTTCTCTTGTTCCATCTCCTCTCCACTTTTGAGTGAATACTTGATAACTGTTCTAGAGCATACTGTTCTAGTGAATACTAGGCATCGTTCTTGATAGTTCTCAAAGTGGTGTCCCTGGAACAGCAACATCGGTAACACCCGGGAACTTGTTACAGATGCAGAACTGGGGCCCTGCCCAGGACCTACAGATGCAGAAACTCTGGGGTGGGGCCCAGCAATCTGCTTTAACAAGCCCTGTGACAAATTCTGATGGGATTCAAATTTGAGAACCACTGTGTACTAGTGGAAGAGAACCTTCAAAGTATGTAGCCTCCTTTTATCTCAAGATGTCTCTATTATATCAAAGAAATGGGACCCTTTTTTCACAGGAATCTGTCTGGAGGAGAGTCTGGGTCATTGCCCTGTAGCTTCAGTTGTTCCTGTCTCTTAGGGGTCCAGGATATCTCTAGCAGATGCCAGCCTCTTAGAGAGGAAAGCGTGAGGGTGGCAGTCATCCTCTATCTCCTGATCCAGGCATTGGAGAAGTTCAGTATAATGCAAATCCGCTAGCCTCACGCGTCACTGTAAACGTTCTTATACCCCAAAGCAAGGTAGGTTGTGAACTGCTCTCTTCTCTAACCCTGTGGTAACTAGCAGGGGAAAATCAATAACTTTCCTAAACTTGGTCAATTTTAATATAGTCATAGCATTTGTAATTCTGGAAGGCATATTAAGAATTCCTAGGACAACACACACACACACAGTCACCCTGATTTTTCCAAGATGAAAATTGAGGCTCAGGTTCAGCATTTTGCCTACAATCACACAGCTACACAAAAAAGCAGAGCTGAAACCAAACCTGGGTCTTCTGCCTCCCTGACTCTTATTTTTTCATCACCAGAAACTGCCCTTTCTAGGTGAATTAGGAGCTAGCCACTCAAGAGTCTGATCCTCTGTTGACCCACCCCTGTCACTGTCAGATTCTGTGTAGTCACAAATGCAAAGGAGCCAGAGAGCATCAATTTTTTAAATGAGACACTCAGGCACTTGATAAAACTTTCTATCTATGTATTTTTACACACACACACACACACCTAAAACGTATTTAGATCTATCGATCAATCGTGCTACACACACACACACACACACACACACACGTTGGATGACCGGTTAGTTCACTATGCTGACTTTGGCTGCTTTCTAAGAGCCAGAGCTCTAAGCAGGAGACTGCAAAGTGAGGATGGAGCCTGTGTCTTGTTGGTCTCTTTAAGTGGGACCATCCACTGGGTAAAGGAAGTAAGACGCTGGCAGGCTCAGCTTCAGGGTCTGTGCTCCTAGTCAGTTTGATTTGCATCATCTCAGTAGTGAAACACTTCCAAAATGCAGTTTACCGTACTAAACCAGTACTTCTTTGACGGGACAGGAAGTGTGCCACTGTAGCCTGTGTGCGCCTACGTGTGCAATTCCCAGATTACAGTTCATTCTTTAAGTCTCCTGAGTGATGGAGGTCATCAGCCTGGTGGCCATTCCAATGTTTGGGTACAGTGGGTCCCAAAAGAACTCAACTGGGGAGATTTAGACAAAAATACACTCTGGATCTCCATGACCTAGGAGTCATCAAGGGAGAAGGATGGAAGGAGTTAAAATGAAAGAAAGGGGGTTTCCCTGGTGGCGCAGTGATTGAGAGTCCGCCTGCTGATGCAGGGGACACGGGTTCATGCACCGGTCTGGGAAGATCCCACATGCCGCGGAGCGGCTGGGCCTGTGAGCCACGGCCGCTGAGCCTGCGTGTCCGGAGCCTGTGCTCCGCAACGGGAGAGGCCACAACAGTGAGAGGCCCACGTGCCAAAAAAAAAAAAAAAGGAAAGTAATGGAGAGAAGGTCAGAGCAGGCGTCCCCTCTCACCTGGCCTAGCCCCTCCCCCACCGCACAGAAATGACTCGTTCATTGACAACAGGGGCGAGAAGAGGGCTGGTCTTCACTGTTCCAATTCTCTCCTTTCACTGGGGAAGAATCATCCATTTCTCAGCTAGGTTAAAAGGTTTAAAGCTACAAGGATTGGGAGAGTCAAGAGCAATATAAAGACACTGAGTGCATGGCTGAGCCTTTCCCTGGGAACACTGGGAGAAAAAGTCACTAAGAGAGGATGAGGATGACAGAGGGCAATGGCCCAGACCCACCCAGGTCGCTGTGGTCTGGCTGCTATGCCGTACACCTCTCACCTCATCCTGGGTGCTCCACAGCGCCTCTTCGGGTCATCAGCGTCCCGTCTCCTGTCTGGTCTCCTGCTGTAGACCTTCTGTTGCCCCCAGCCCCCAAACCAGGGCAGTCTCTCCTTCAGACAATGCCTTTGCTTTGCATCTCCTGGGACATCTCTCCCAGTGCAACACTTGGCTCCTTCTGGGCTGGGAGTGCCAAACCACTTAAGCACGTGGGGACCACCTGGGAACAAACCGGAAACCGGAACTCAGGTATTTACCAGATACCACCTACCACTCTCTCTGGCTCTTCCCTTCTGGGTTTTTGGTTTTAGTGCAAAACTGTGCCGTGCAGTGTGCTC